GGATAATTATAATCTTTTATATTTTTCTCGATTTTTTTAGAACGGTTATTTTGTACGACAATTTTTATCGTCTCGAGCTACAGTATTCTTTTAGTCTTCTTTATCTAAATATAACTAACGTCGTTCGCTTGTGCTTGCGGTTTGGTCTTTTTTGATACGGGTCCCCGTAGTCCAGAAAACTTTCACCTTGTACTGTCAACGGCACGTCGTCGGTCAAAGCTATGCCAAAGGTTGTTATATTGAAGTTTTGCTATTTTATGTTTCAAAGCGTTCTGTAGTTTCCTGTCCCAAATCATTAAACGCAGAAAGCTCGTTCCGGGCATGAATCGATATTCTGGTACGGTTGGCTGCAAGAAGAATCAACTTTTGCGTGTGCAAAATAAGTTGAAAAACAACATGCGTTGCGAAGCGAAATGCGTGCAGCAGGTCATCACTGAGTCCAATTTTGTTCAACAAAATTATTCTTGCTATCCGTGTTAAGTTGTGTATATTAGCAAATACGTGTTTTCTTGATCTTCTCTTAGCTTGTCTAAATATCAAGAATTGCGTGGGAGAGTTAGGCTCTGGCCATCTATTAACAGTGTCTTGGGGAATATTGCGAAATGCGCGTGTCATCATCTTTCTTGCGTACTGTCAGTGGAACAACCATTGACTGCTGGCGAGCGAAATGAATTTTCAGGAATAGACTCCTCTATGAATAATCAAATTCTTCTCGGAACGAACTAGTTTCAAAAATAACAGCGAACCGATTTTAACATATATTTTCAAATACATTGTATAACCAGATCGATTGTTCTGCGCGTTTTTATTCTGATGCGATTTTAAGAGTTCCCTCGGATGCACGTAATTGATATAGGTCACCTAGTTCGACGTCGCTTAACGCGAAACACTACTCCAAACAAAGAGAAGTTCTTGCTTTTGGGACAAGATACATTGAATAGAATTTTTTAGTAGAAAAGTTCAACTGGGACAGAAACTAAGTAATTGAATTTGTTAGAAAGCTTCGATTCGATTGTAAGAATTGGACGGAAGAAATCATTTAAAAAAATTATGGTATACAACATATCGGATATGATTTACTGTTGTGCACTGATCTATATTGACTTCTTTATAGAGGACGATAAAAAAGAATTTTTAAGCGGCGCTAGTACGCCCCTGTAAACCGTAGCGCCTGTTTCAAAACGACTCGACGTTCAGCACCAGACCAGTCTCACTGAGTTCAGTTGGCGTCGCGACGCCGCCGTCAGAGGTATCCGAAAGTCGTGTACGACGCCACCCCCAAGTCTGCCCCTGACACAAGTGGAGACAATCGCTGAAAAAGACGGACAGTGCGCGATGATAAAAGTGAACGTTGTGATTACTCGCCAACAATTTATTTACACGTTGATTAAAAAGAAAATTGATCAAGCGTACGATTCGATGTAACAAGCCAGGATGAAATTAAACAGCATTAACAAGGGATTCGTGACTGAAAAAGAAATAATTTGAAGGTGGTTTCATTTTAAATTGCTTTTTGACTTGAAATGCCATGTAAATTGTGTTAGCTCCTGGTGCAGTATCGATGAGCCGTGAACTTGCCAACTTTGTTTCAATCGCTCCCAGGAGTAGGGTTGATCGTTTCGCATCAAGGATTAGCTGTCCTTGATACAAATGATGCGTATCAGGCTAACTGAGATCAAGAGTAACGTGATACGGTACGCGGTTCGAATCAAATGACGAACAAATCTCGTGACTCCTTCGGCCAGCGAGAAACGAAGGGACGAAATCGATTGGAAATTCAAGGGTGGACGAAGAGGTATTTCTTATCGAAGGACTTTTCTGTCAGGAGAAGATGGAAAGAGATGATTGTTGTAGTTTGGTCGATGATAACTCGCAGGATTAGCCGAGTGAACGTTATCAATAGTTATAGTCTCCTAAAATTAATTAAACCGCAGATGCTCGCAATGAATTGCAAATTTCTGCTAATTTTGGATCGTTCCGGTGTAATAACGGTTTAAAGATTTAATCAGTAACGCGGTTAATTGAACGACGGACTTTTTATACTCTTGTTTGAGGAGGCTGCGAACTGAACCCCGCATCGATTTCGGAAAACTTCCCGCACGGGGCAGAGGGAGAAATAAGAAGAAAAGTCGCTGATAAAGTGTCGCGTTTCATTATTAAGTGAAACAGAAACGCTTGTCCAGTATTCATTAAACGTGCGGTTTCGTTATTGAAGAAAAGATTTCAATGAAATAACTTTCCGGCTTCATCAAAAGTGTTTCCCACATTTCTATGCTGTTCTTTTATTAAAGGATTCTCCTCGAACTCTCGTTCAACTAACTTTCTTAGTCTCTTAAGTAGTTTTCAGCAACCTGTTTATATCACTTGCTCAAATAAAAAGCACAAATGTTATTTGAACATCCACTGCCTAAATTTGTCATCATATACGTGGACAGTCGGTCTATTTATTTCTGAGATGCACGCGGGGTCGTTGATCCACGGCAGGTCGACCGAATAATTTTAGGCATGCACGAAATTGAAAACTACAGAAACGTGGTTCAAGATCCGAAAGGAAGAATACGGTCAAGATCAATTCTGGGCACGTGGCTTCTTTTCAAAAATTGCTGATCTTATAGATTTTCCCCTCTCTCTCTCGGCAACTTTTGAAGTACCATTTGACTTTTTCAACCCTGGAAATATTGAAACTAGAAAGTGAACTTTTGCCAAATTTTTTCCAAGGAATGCGATTGCTGAGATCAAGAGAATTTCGTTATCTTGCTGGACTTTATAGTCGCGACACACTCTCGAATTATATTCCTTAGTAATTTATCAGATGACTACGGTGCTTGTGCTTGGATTATCAGACAAATTAAGAGGCGTTCCTGGTAGAATTCGAGCATCTTCGAATACGCCCGGTTATAAATTCGCGAGGCGTGACTGATTGCTAGACTACTCGATCCCAGTGATAAATTGCGCGCAGAAATTCGGTTGAAACCTGCCAACCGTTCTCTTCGAACATGCATCATAAATGAACGGATGAAATCCATGATACGAAAAACAAAATAGTCTCCTAAATAAGTAAATAGCTTGTTCGATCATATAATCAAGTGATATTTAAAGTAAAACAATGTGCTAGCCGAAATTTAAAAAGACAATGCGGAGTGATGAGTGATTTTAAAAATCGTCAAACTTGATACGTCGTGATTAGAAGTAATTCAAGTTAAAGTCTGAGGATCGGAAATTTTCTACGAAGATGTCCAGTTCGCCAGGCTCGCGGAAGGGGCCACCCCCGAGGCCGAAGATTCAAATTCCGCTACCGGGGCAGTTTTACCCGCAACCCGGTATGGCATACGTGTCAACCCCGTACGGTCAGACACCCATGACTCCTGTTTCTGGCCAGCCGCAGATGCTTTATTCGAATAAGGCCAGCGAGTTCGTCTTCAGCCAGTTCAAAGGCATTAAGGATTTCACGAAATCCGGGTTAAGCGTCGGCGAGAAGAGCGCTTTCTGGCTTTATGAGAAGGTGTATATATTATATATATAATACATATAATGAAGCCTTCTTTTTACGTGCCTGTGTTTATATCTTTGTGTAGGGATTGAGTTTTCATTGATATCGGTATTACGAATTTCTGCACAGGTCAGTTCCTGGAGCAAACGGTGGTTCACGCACATTTTCTTATTTGTTGTCGTGCTTTTGTATAGTATCGGGGGCGCGATGATATTCGTCACGATCGAAGGGACCCACGAAGACGTCATGCATGGAAATATTCATAAGGAGAGGTGAGTACTTAACAAATATCGACGATCCGAAAATTAGTCGAGTGTGAATGATAACTAAATTGTGAATGTTTAAGCCAAATAAAACATTTTTAATGTCAATTTGAAAAATGCAATTCTTATATCTAAATAAAATTTTCTTCTTTTATATTACATAGAAAATTTAATCTTTCGATTATGAAAAAAGATTAAATTGTTTGACATTTAGTTACACGTGCTCTTAGAAATAATTAATCTCTTCGC